TCTGTCTGTTCATGTTTGAATCTCAGTAAGTAGTAAACAGAAGTCTGAACTGAACAATCTGTACCGAATGGTTCAGCATAGATATGTGCACCTTCACACACCTAGTATCATGTAATCAATAACACAATAGTGGATGTGAATGGGAAAAATCAGTCCCAGTGGTCGACTAACCCTTTGGAAGCTTAGAATGTTCTTGCATTAGAGCACCAGTTCTCCTTTTTACTCCCAGATGCACAGGATTGTCAGATATATTGACTTATCAAATTAGGAGGAGAACAGATGTTACTAATAACATCAACAATGACTCTGCTCAAGCAATTATAGCAGTATAATGCCGCAATTACTTCCATTTTTTTCTTGCGCTTGTTTGCCATTCTGGATCAATCAGTCAAATCAAGTAGGCCTCCTCTGAAGATACAGCCTCTGCCGCACCAGATTTCCTCTTTGTGTTACTGTCCACTTCATCTCGGCAAGGCAACGCTGACGTGAAGAGAAGCAATGCTTCTACGAAAAACACCCTAGCTTTGTAAAATGTGCTCTTAAGTTGTCTAACTCAGACAGCTGAAGCTTCAATTTAACTTCACTTAGGCTTTTGAAAGCATTTTTGCGCAGAGCAAGGACGGTAGTTTTTTCTGCCATCACTTAAAAGTGCATTATGAATAGACTTTTAATGGTCAATATGAACCGCAGGAATGACTGCAGCAAGCAAAACCTGTTCCAGTCTTTGGGGCATTTTAAATATAGCTTGACATGAAAAAATGTGACCTGCAGATGGGTGACAAATTGAAGGAAAAAGCCAACATACAGTGTCCTAGTAAGGTGTTTGGCCTCTGCTGCCTGCAGCTTCAGTGCTCCTTGGAAGCAATTCTCCAAGTATCTGAACTCTACTGGCAGATTAACACTATTATCCCAAAAGATATTCTGTAACTTATGGTTTGATGATGGTGGTGGAGAGTGCTGCCTTAACAAATAGGATCAAAATCTCCCACAGGTGTTCTGTTGTGCTCAGATCTGGTGACTGTGAAGGTCTCAGTGTATGATTCACATCATTCTATCAAACCACTCATTGACCCCTCGTGCCCTATAGATGGAAGCATTTCCGTCCTGGAAGACACCGCTCCCATCAGGATAAAACTGTTTCATCACAGGATGAAGGTGATCACTCAGAACTACTTTGTATTGATTTGCAATTAGTCTTCCCTTTAAGGGTACACGTGGACCTAAATCATGGATCTGTTATGCTGTAGGGGTCAAGGGTCCGTTTTTTTCTTTAATTTATCACCCATCTGTATCTTTTAACCTCCTTAGTTTAGATGCCTAACATCCCCTGATGGTCATATGGTAGACAGTACGTGTAGTGCATAACTCTGTACAATATTCTGAGCATGAACACTGATAATTTATTGTAAAAGTTTTATTGTGATTCAAACTTCACAACTGTTACATTCCCTTTTATCTTTCACACATTATTGTTTCATGTGTCTAATTTGTATCAGAAGTTCCACTTTTGCGAAAATTCAAGTCAGAATTTATTCAAAATCAAATTAAAATACAACTTACATCACCTAATCCTTAAATAAATTGTGGTTTGTGATTTTTTGTGTGGAGTTTGCATGTTCTCCCCGTGCAGTGTGGGTTCTCTCTGGGTTTTCCGACTTCCTCCCACAATCCAAAAACATGTTGAGGTTAATTGGTGATTCTAAATTATCTGTAGGTGTGAATGAGAGTGTGTTTGGTTGTCTCTCTGTGTAGGCCTGCGATAGACATCGACCTCTCCGGGATGAAACTTGCCTTCAGCCTCAGTCAGCTGGAATAGACTCTAGCCCCCCGCAAACCTATGATAAAGTGGTGCATAGATAATGGATTCATGGATGGATGTTGTTAGCCTTTTAGCCAGGTTAGCTCCTGGAGTTTCTGCTTAGAACCCAACCCACCCTTTTGTTGTATCCAGTCGTCACTAAATTTCACCATGCAGAGTTCAGTCTGGTTCTTTATAGGGCATCAGGTGCCATCATCACACAGCAGACTAGTCTGATGAAGTCACAGACTGATCACAGGACTATAAGGCAGTGTTGCACTTGCACACTGAGAGTTCAGAATTTCAGGTTATTACATGCTGATTGTTGAAAGTGACAGCTTACATGTGTGTGCTTGACTTGAATATTTAAGCCTTATCAATAAAAATATACTGAGTCTTTATTCTGGTTTGTTATGTTTGGGTCTTACTGTCATAGTAGCAATGTCACCATGTTCCCAAATCTAATTACTGTTCTGTCAAATCGAATGGCATTGCGGCTTCTGAAATACCACTACAAAGTCAAAAGTGTAAATTGAAACCAACATTGTAAGGTGCAGACGTCACCGTTTCAGTCATGCCATAGAACCTGAAACCGTACAAACACAAGCACACGTCAGCAAAAAGTTAGTCACCACTTCTTAGTGCAAACTGGATTAAACTTGTCCCACCTCCAGTTTCATTGGTTCACATCCCACATGCTCCACATGTTGCTGCTCCCCTCTCAAATCAGCCTGGATGATTTTCTTATCACAGCGCTTCAGAGCCGGCAGACGCTGCCTTGAGTCACGTCGTCCACCCCACAAGACTTCTCAAAGAAAGAAGCGAAATCACCGGCGATTACTGCTGCTCGGAGGTTTTGAAGTCTGCTGAATGTGGTTTTCAACTTTGCGAACAAGCTTAGCAGCAAATAGGCTTAGCTCTTTGATTGAGTTATGTTATATAGCTCGTTGACATCAGGTGAGGACAGTTTGCTGTCTGCACGTCCTCACCTTCCATTCACTCCTCTATACAGGAGCAAGTGTCATGCTAATTTGCAGTAGCTATTAATAGGAAGCTCCATCCTGCCTCCATCAACACCTGACTCACCTTAACTGGCTCCACTTGAGAGAAAATGCACTGTGAGCGTGTATGTGTGTCTTTTGGCATGACCAGCCATCCATCTCTTCTCCTCATCTCTGTTTATCCCTCCATCCAGCCTCCACCTCCTTTCCTTTCAACTCCTCCTCACCTTCCCTGTCTGTTTGTCCTCCCCACCTTGTTATTTCTCTTCTTCCTTGCCTTCCATTACTTTTACTCTCACACATTCCTTTCCTACTATTCCTTGTGCATCCTTTCCTACCTCCATTATTTCACTTTTTTTCCTCCCCTCTGCAGTTCTTCTTACTTTGGGTTCTCTGCCGTCTCTCCTCCCTCCCTGCAACCTTCCAGTATCTCCACCCTCCTCTCTGCTATACTTTCCTCCCCCATTCAACGGGAGTCAGCAGAGAGAGACAGTGGGGAGCAGAGCTGCCTGCTAAGCAGCAGAGGACAACACACTCACAGTGTGTGTGTGACTAATGTGTAATTTGTGTGTGGATGCAGTGTACTTGTGACACTGGATGCAGTGTATTTATTCACTGGGGAGTGTGTAGCAGGAGCTGCTGTTTATCACACTGTCTCTCCTTATCTTATTCATGAAGTCCAGCAGACTGTCGCCTCCCCCTTTTCTCTCTCCAATGTCTGTCCCATCACTTCACACACACACGCACACGCGCACACACACACACACACACACACACACATACACACACAGACACACATTCTCACACACACCTGTGCAGAGCTCTTAAGCAGGTGTTACTTTTTTGTCAGCTCCATCCATTAGACATAATGGGTGTGTGCCTGAAAGGTTCTTGGTTTTTTTTTTTTTAAATGAAAGGTGCATGTGAGCAACACGGTGTATGTGTCCTGTCTGCAACGGTTCATGTCTACCTCTGTTTGCAGCCGCCTAATTAATGTCATCTGTCTCACTTACTGTGACAATGCGTCTCCTCTATTGTCCCCTCCGTTCTTTTCTCTACTTGCCTGTCCTTTATTCAACTCTTGCTCTTCTACCCCTCACATTTTTACCTCTTCTCACCCTTTCTTCTCTCATCTTTTCTCACCTTGACGTACAGTTAACCATAGGTTTGAGTGAATATTTTCCCAGTCCATCTGCATTTACTAATTGTTGCCTGTACAGTCCTGAGATCAAATGACTGGAAAAAAAAAGAGAGAAGAAAAAAAGTTAAATTTAGCAAATGAATGTTTTTGACATTCCACATGAGCAGTCATAGCCAAAGAAAGTGTTAAAATCTGTCAAGTATCAGAGGGACAGAATGTCTTGTTTGCTCATTCTTTGGCATTTCTGAGTGCTTTCAAAATTTAGTTCTTTCTTTTGTGAAAAGTTGTCATTTTACTTTGTGAAAGTTCTTGTTTGGTTACTTGTGTTTACCTACAAGATTTCAGAACTCAGGTTTGAGATTTGTTTATTTCTTCAACTTCTTTTTTTTTTGTCATTTTGTCTCACAAGTTAAATTCCAGTTCAGACTGTTTTGTTTTTTTTTTTTTGGATTGGTGTTACATTACCATCAGTGACACTTGATAATTTATGCAGATTTTTCACATGAAAAGCCTGACAGAAAAGGAAGAAATCAAGCCCTTTCAAGCCACTACAAGGCTTTTAATGTAAAATATGTCTGCAAGGAACGCTGAGTTTCAGTCACGGCAGCTTGATATTGATTGAAAGAAGTGCAAAGTAAAAGTGATTGGACGTTGTAATTACTGAGAACAGTATTATGGTTAAATAATAAGCGGTGAGGATGACAAATCTGTCGTATTGATGGAATTAGTGCCGTGGAAATGTATGTTATGCTAAATTCGTCGAGAAAAGAGAAAACAAAAAAGGAGCTCAATTTGAATCGGAGGCAATTAAGGTGGCAGCAGGTTAGAAAACATCTCATGGCCTGAAATGTCCTGGTTCTTCTCTTCTGGTTTGGTAAATAGAGGCTTCAGTCACACGTTGAGATTTTACATTACTTTTCATGGTACATGCGGCTGTGAGTTAACAAGAGCAAGAACACTTCATTGTACACCATAAGGCACAGAACATGTTTGGATAAAACTATACATATTTCATGACACTTCTCTTCATCCGCTCTTCCTCTGTGTTTCTGTCTGACAGTCTGGTTCCAGTACAGCACCTGCACAGGTGGACCCCTCCACCTCCTCCTCCGTCTCCTCCTCTACCTCCACCACTACCACCACCAAGGCGGAGGAGAAGAAGCTTTTATCTAAAGACTCCATCCTGTCTCTGTATGCCAGCAGCTCAGTGGGCAGTCAGCCGCAGAGCCAGCAACAGCCGGCTCCAGGACAAGGTAACGCACACTCTCACACAGGCAGCTTTTTTATTAACTCTTTGTTATCCGCGTTAAGGCAGCTGAAGTGGTCCGTCTCTTTCAGCAGCTCTGTATGTTTACATCTTTAAACTCAAGCAAAATTCTGTCTGACAGATGTATTCAGTCCTTCACTTGAATTAATCTGACCTAGAGAGCTACAATGAAAGAAATTATCCAAATCTAAACTTAGAATTGTGATTTTCGATCATAATTTTATTTTTTTTCTGCATAAATCATTTTTGAAATTTACCAAAAATAAACCATTTGGACAAAACAGATCCCATTGAAAATGAAAAAATTCTGCACTTCCGAGAAGTGAAGAGTGACTCAGCTGCAACCAACTGCCATGTGACAAAAATTCAGGCACTCAGCTTAAGTGCAGGACGTTTATCCAGAGCAGAGAAGTCAAAATACTAGTTGGTTAAACAAAAAATCTTTCACTGTTGTATCTAAGATGTTATGAAGTCACTAGCAGCTCTTACTGGTGGACAGCAGCCTCTCTTCTCACCATAAATGTTGTAAACCAGCAAGGTGGAACGCAGGACAGATGACATTTGGTAAAACCCGTGCAGTTTGGCAGTATTTTCAATGAAGACATGAAAACAAGGTTGTACGTAAGCTGTGCCAGAACAACTGGCGTATAACCACTGGGTCGGACCAATAAGTAAACACATTCAGGCACACAGACTTGTTGGTTGGCTGATGGTGATGGTGCTAGCACTGCTAATACCAGCCATACTATCCAAACCAGTAGGACTTTCTTCAGTTGCAGAACTACAACTCCTGAGTGCAAAGGCTTATGGGTGTATTACCTTTTGTAGTTATACTGTTAGAATCTGAGCAGCTCAACCAAAGCTGAAGTTTACAGCCGCAGTGTGTAATAAACTGTACCTCAGCACCAGGTTGCATGTTACCCAGGACGACGATATAGCAGTCAGCTTTGCATTGATTCTCAGCCTTTTCATCTCCTCCAAGTGGCAACAAACGAGGTTGAGCTTCACTTTGTTTTGCCTCATTTAACTTTACTGCGCCCGCATTGCAAACGTGGTTGTTGTGCCTTACCTGCTGTGTAGTCAAAGACCTTATCTTATAGCCATGATGGGTGTGCTGATGTCACAGCAATGACTTCTTGTTAAAACAAATCACCCTATATTCTAAAAGAGACAATCAAACAGAGAGTTCATGCAGTGACCCTCAGTTAGGCTTGTGGTGTTTGGAAGATCAGATTGAGTATTGATGATTGATTGAGTAGCGCTGCTGCTGCATTTAAGGTACGTCTTCAGTTATTGAATAAATCCCTAAAAACTCCAAGTGTATCAAAGTTGCATATTTAGAAATTTTCCCAATGGAAATATTCCATTCCTGCCGTATAATGACTTATGAGTTAATACCCTACACCTTCTTTCTCACGATCTAGAATCCCCAACTCCTGCACTCAACCCTTCCCACTTGCTGCAGCTGAAGCCCACCAGCTCACCCATGACTCTGCTAAAACACTGTTAAACTACTCTGTACTACTCAAGTTGTAACATTGGAGCCAAACATGTTCAAACTGGAAACTGATTGTGAAGAAGAATGAAGGTCCTGGAACACAGGATGCAGCACTGGTGCCATTTTGCTCTAAAACCCATTCATTTCAGTTGCTTCGTGCAACAATGGTATGCCACGCCGGTCGATGAAACAGCCCGCTGTGGTTCAAATTTCAATTTGTTAAACTTAGTATGACCATGCAGCCAATAGAAACAAAGCATCTTGGATGGCATGGAGGGTAAACTGGAGGAAAAGCTGCTACTGCATGTATCTGAATCTGCCGAATTACAGATATGACACAACTTTGCGGTTGTATTGAGACTCAAGAGAGAAAAGCTTTCGTACTACCAAGGCTAGTGCTAATGCTTGCTCCTTAGCACTGGACTAATACATCTTCGCTGTTGAAGTGTTTGCAACAAACTGACAGCCTCCCGCTTGAGAGGATGGTGAAAATTCTACTAATCCCCAGGAGCTGTGTACTGAACCCCGCAGCGAGCGCACCACATACCGCATCCTGTGTGAAAGGCCCTTAATGATACAGAAAACCCATTCTGCAAGTCGACAGGACTGATTCCTTCGGTTAATTACATATGAAGACTGTCCTCAGTACACAGTGGTATCAAGACGGAAATCTTAAGCCGGGGTGTTGACTGCTTTATTTTACTCATCATGCATGTACCAGTATATAAAAGCACCATATGGCCAAGTTGACAAGGCAAAAAACTTTAAAGAGGGGAGGTCTTGTAAGCACCCTGCTTATGCTTTATTTTCCATCTGCCAACCTGACAGCTGCACTGTGTGGTCTGACCCCCTGTCTCCATTGACCATATCATGCTGATAGCGCTGATTCTAGCCTGTGGGTGTGTTTCACTCATTGTGAGTCATGCGTGACCCCAGCTCTTCTTTCCATGTGCCAGATCTGTCTGTACTGAAGCCATCAAATTCACTTGTATATTCAGTAAATGCCTATAATTGCAGATTATTGACTTCCTTGAGGAAGGGCGAGAGAAACTGCTATTCGGGAGATCCAAGCTGTTACTGCAGAAAACGTATCAGTCTGTTTTATGATCACAGCATTTTAGTGCATTTTGTAATAACCAAAATACAAGTTAATGACCACAGCTGTGCCCTAAGATCATTTTTAGAAGTCTTGACAGACATTGAATATAAGACTTTGAAAAACAAATCCAAATCAATGATAATTATGCTGTGCTGAATGTGTAAATAGGCAACTGTTTGCTCACATTTTCTCCGTATTAACTTCATCACAGGATGAAAACGTAGACGATCTGTTTATTGCTAGCCTCACCTCACTCACCCTCACTCACAAGCAGTGGCTGTAAAAAAAAAAGTGTGAATTTGCCCTAGGTGGTGCAAATTGTGAAAAAGTTTGTCTGCATGAGCTGAAAAATATTTTAGTTGGGGCAGAAAGTGTTTATCCTGAGGCTTTGTGTCTGTATTTCATAGATGTACAGAGGGCAGAGGAGAGAGACAGCAGGAAAACAGCACAAACAAGTGGAGTTATGGATGAGTTTTGAGAAAATAGACTGAGCTTTCACCCAGAACCTGCACAAGACTCACTCTGCATGCATTTTTAATGTGTATTTGCTACACAACCACAACTGCACATAGTGGGTCTGTTATTAGAATTTGCATTAAAATTCAGTCCGGCCACACCTTTACAGACACACCCAGAATGAGAATGTCTAGTAAGCAACCTTTTTGGAATGAGACCCAACACCACCGGGAGGCCAAAGCTGTTTCTGCTAGCGTCAGGTCACAATTTGTTTATGCGCTTTCAAGAGTTTAAGCAGAAAGTCCCTTTCAAAATTGATAAGTTTGAATAAATCCTAATTTGTATGTGGTTGAGCAGCTAAAACAATGTGACAATCCTGTTAAAGTTTCTTTAGAAATCTAGAAAACGGTTAAAGAAAATTCTGAAAAATAACCAATGTTTGTATAGCAAGTATACGTGATGTTTTTCCTCTCTTTTATCCCTGCAGTCACCCTGTGACCACTCACAGTAACCTTGTGACTTCTCCCAGGTTGGGAGCCTACTTTTTGAAAATACATCCTATTTTTCCATTGTCACTGCAATAAATGGTATTTGTCGAGGCAAGAATCCTCAGCACTCCTATTTCTTTGAATGTTGAATTTGACAGGCGCATAAAAGCACTGCAATGTGTTGCGCATGTAAAATGTAAACAAACACTACATAATTCGAGTGCCATGAGCTGGAACAGCATACAGTTTAGAAGCACAAGGTTGCGCACTCAGGCATAGGTTTTTGTGCATAAACAGAGGCACACATGTACACACTATTACACACATACATCAGAGGAAAGATGCATCATAAAAATGGAGGAGAGTGAAGACAGATGAAAGGTCAGTGTGCTGAAAAACAGCCAGGTCTACTCCATGCTGCATTTACCAGAGTCCCACTGCAGCAGTAAAAATAGAGATGTGTCTGCAGATTCACTCCCTTCTCACAGTCATTATGTATAAAGACTGAGGTGCCAGGACTGTTTATGTGCGCTCACGTAGGCGGACGTTCATACATACTGTACGTTACACATACATTAACCTGAGCATGTTTGGAGTGTGTGGGAAAGCATTAGTACAACATGTTTGCTGCATGCTGGAGAATAGTAGGCAGCAGATTTATACAGCAGGCACATGTGCATATTGATCATACTGCTGCATGTTTACACTGACGTATAGAGGATTAGGAATTTAAATCAGGATGAAGGGCTTTCTGCTGCCTTATTGTCCTCTCTGAGTCCAAATAAATGCTGATGCAGATCAAAGCCAAAATACCCTTGCCAGACTAATGCCCCAAATCACAGACTTTCATCCGGTGTGTACTCTATGTGTGTGGGGGAACCATGTGTGTGTTTTCTTATTGTAGCAGGATGGATGTCGCTCAAAGTGCAGCTAATAATGAAATGATCAAAATGCCACAATACACAGAAAGCAGACTGTATTACATAGTCTACGGACCATGGATCCATTATTGATCCTATACTGATTTCCACCTATGTAATTTTTACCAGTGAAAGATTTCTAAACTTCAAGACATGATATGAATTGTGCTAAAAGAGGCCATACTCTATAATGATTAGTATCCCAGTGATGAGGCTGTTCATTGTATGGTGTTTGCATGGAGCACAGAGAAAGTTTTCTTTTCTCCCTGCATAAATGATAAATACTCGTATCCCAGTTATTGACTACTGCATGCTATTTGCACATGTGCCTGTGAAGTGTACCACATAAACCAGCAGTTTAATGTGACACCCGCGTAACTGTTAGACTAACCCTAAATTAATTTGACTGTGAATATTGAAAACGAGGCCACTTTGGCTTATAGTGGGCTTAACAGTATTAAATGCTAACATCACATAGCGGATTTGGTTTATCCATCTTACTGCCAGCAATCGGCGACAAGGGTGACAGGAAATATTAAACATGGCCTTTACTTAGACTAGTGATCAGATTGACGCTGCGATGCATTGGACAAGGGAGCACAGGATGAAGATGATTGGGATAAGTTACTGTCTGAGCAGAGCATCCTTTTAGCAGCTGTGTGACAGAGTTGAACTGTTTCGTACAAGCACCAGTGTCGTCAGCCATGAGAGTGGTAATAGTATGTACAAACTAGCTATTTGTGGACATCATTTGAGTGAAGCCACGTCTGTACAGATAGTGAACAGCAGTCAGAAACTGGGATGAGATGTAAACAAAACATGCATCCTTGTTCTTTCACAGTGCTCCAGCGAACCAGGATAAGGCTTTATCCCAATTTTTGAAATTGGGACACGATGAAGATAGTGAAAAACCTGATCATAACCAAGATACTCAAGTCCATGTAAACACAGTCAATAAGGAGGTGGTCTGTACCTTTATTTTCAAGCAGTCAGAATATCTCCTTTGAAGATGCTCATCTCACTGCCTCTTGAGGTCTTCCTGTCCAGAATCGAGTCATGGTGGCATCAGGCTAAGCAAACCCCTCTTTGGCAACATTTTCCACCTCTTCCTTGCTGTTTCCTGCAGTGTTCCCTGGCTAGTTGAGGTTCGTGATCTTGCATTATGTTTTGAGTCTCATCCAGGGTCTCCTCCCAGTTGGTAGCACCTGGAAAACCTTCCGGGGAAGTGACCCAGAAGGCATCCTGATCCCGGAACTGGTTCCTTTTTAACATGAAGGAGCTCTACTTCAAGCTGCTCTGGATGTCTTAGTTCTCACCTCATCTCTAGGCGTAAGCCCATCCAGCCCAGGGACGAAACTCATCTCAGCCTCTTTTATTTGTCATCTCATTCTTTTGTTTTTACCGTATGAAGTAATGTGTCTACGAGAGAAGATCAGCAGGTAGGTTGAACGTTTTGCCCTTCAGCTCAGTCTACACTACAACAGTCCAGAACAGTTACTGCTGACGGTGCACCAGTCCACCTGTCCATCTCACCCTCCATTTTACCCTTAGTGTCGACAAGATCCTGGGACTTTTGAATTCCAGGTCTTGGAACAACAAGTCACTCCCAACCCAGAGGGACCAATTCACTGTTTTTTTGGCAGAACACCATGGTCTTGGACTTGGAGGTGCTGACATCCTGATCCACTTCACAGTCTGCTGCAAACTCTCCCAGTGCCTGATAAAGGTCACGGTCTGATGGAGCCCACAGAACCACGTCGCTTTAAAGAACAGAGAATCAATCCTGAGGTCCCCAAACCGGACAAGCTCCTCACATTCTTGTCTCACAATGTCTGATGCAGTGCTGATGGGCAATTGGGAAACACAGGAGCAGCTGGTGGCCCTCTGGAACACGTCAAAATGTTTTAATGAAATAAAAGTCAAGAATTTGCCTTTTTTTTCCACCGTCATGTCGTTTCATGCTACACTGCGCACAAGTAGTTTTCCACACATCACACTGTTGTGACATGTTGAAGGTGTGACACTTCACACAAATCCCAGTAAGAGCTTGTGACCTGCAGCTCGTCTTCACACGGTTTTCTTCTTCTGCTACTCTCCATTACATGAGCAGTGATGTAATACCACTCTGATATCTTGTTAGGAGAATGAATAGTGAGGGTTCTATTAATCACATAAAAGTAGGAACATTAATGTTGAAGAACATGGTGCCCAGTCTCCTGTGAATCCCCAGTGTGCATGTAGCAAATGTCAGCCCAGCAGAAATGGTGGGAACTACTTTCTTGAGAGATAATTGTGGAATATAAATACATTTAAAGGCTAGAAAAAACGTTGATACTATGAAAAATGGCTTGTGGTACAGTATAATGGAATTTAACGACACAGTCTTTTCCACAGAGAGGGAAATAACAAGATATATTTTAGGACTAGACATTTTCATTGTCACACTGTCAGATATGATTTCTGAGAGTACCTAGTTCCTTCTATGAGAAGTGGTGCACTATGGGTAGCCTTTTCAGTCACTTTCTCGACAGTGTCAGTCAGATCTGAAAGTGTTTCGAATTGGCCGGTTCAATCTGCAGGTGTTTCTGAAGCCTCGTGTAATACATCTGGAAATACATTCATGATGATTAAAAATGACTCTCATGATGTGTTTTGGACGATTCTGTGAGACAGAATTATTCTGATTGTTTCAGCAGCCCGTCAGGAGAGAGTCTGTGACTGATTCACAATATAGGTTGTACATGTTACTGCATTTTAGGTTACATATGATGCCCACAATCAGGTCATCTGCAAGTGATTCAGCACCAGGTTTTCCACAAACATGTGATGCGAGATAGGAGAGAGCTGACCATCATCTGACTGCACTCCAATAGAGTAACTCGCAGTTCTCGGTACCACCGAGAGCCGCCAACCCAAGATTCTTAGTGGACTCTGACTTAGAGCCTTTGAGTCCACAATCCAAAACAGTGGCACCTTGGCAGTGCTGGGGCTTAAACCCCTAACCGTCTAATAAGTATCCCAGAGCCCCAACCACCAAGCCACCACTACCAAGTGATCAGTCTGCAAACTTCGTTGACACCTTTCAAGGCCTTGTTTTTATGGTCTACATTCATACGGAAAACCAAGATCCAGCCTGCTGCCACGATGACCTGACTCACGTAGACAGAAGAAAATGATCAGACGAATGGGTGGTTGCATTTCATATTTTCTTAGACAAGAGAGGAAACTTTACCCAACAGGACAAGCATCAACATGTTTCCGTATCTGCTGGATTACATAGGTGTTGAAAACGTTAAGATTATTATCTTTGGATTTGAATTATGAAAGAAATGTGGGACAAAACTCTGCCTACTTAAATGTTCAGTAAAACGTGCTCAGTACACTGTGTATGTGCTGTTCTTTGTTCCTGCAGGTGTGTACATGGGGCAGCCTCAGATGCAGTTTGCTCCACAGGGCTTTGCCCCAGCGATGGGAGGAGGGGTCCCGCCTACCACCATGATGGGTGGAGGGGCCATGATGTCTGGCATGGCGCTGCCAAACGGGGGCTACATGGGCATGCAGCAGCAGGGCGTGCTGCCAGCCAACCAAGGACAGAACATGTACAACATGCAGCAAGGACAGCAGCAAGGACAGTGGAATATGAGCCAGGTAACACATGGGACTCACACATCTACATATGTATTACCCTTCTTAAGCACATACAGAGGGGTGGTCATTAACTCACTTTATGCAAATTAGAACTCATCTTAACATTGAATTCAGTGGACATAAACTCCAGTTCCTCTGCACATTAATGTTTTAAGGAGCACACTGAAATGTTTACTGTGTTTTTAGTAGACTCTTAAAACTCTCATAAATCAGGTGTGTTTTTCCTCAAGAGTGCACCACCTGTGAGAGTTCACTATCCTTGTCCTAACAGTTGATATATGCTCTTATGGTTGCAATGTTGTGCTTTCTAATTCTGAGCCACTGCAGTAATGACCTCGCCCCTTCAGCCTCTCTAAAAGCCCAAGAGGAGCACTTTTAATCAGCTATTCAATCTTTTCACAACCCTGGTTACTGAATAATAATAATATCATGTTTCCTTATTTTCCGATACTCCGTCAAGTCTCGTTCTCGTCCCTAATATTCAGCTCAGTACAGTGACGTGAATGGTGAGCATGTCATCTTTGATGCAGGATTTTTTAACACCATGTATAATTTAATACCTGTTTCATGATCATACAGACATATTATGACCAACATGATTAGTGCATGAAAGCATTCACGTTTATGTTACTAGTATGTGGCTGTATGTTACTTCATAATATTAATCGTCAATCATTAAATATGACCTGGACGGACAGCAGAAAATAGATGGATCAATTGATGGAAAGATAAACCAATTAGAAAATAAAGTGATTATTTACAATCTATGCATGGATTTTAGATGACATCAGAAGTCTTGAAATATTTATTGCAGGGAGGTGTAGTGTGTATATGATTAAACTACATAGCTTGACCTTTCCCACAATGCTGCTTGCCTGCCTGTGGATGCTAGCATGTCCATGTGATGATGTGTTATTAATGTATCATAAGAAAGAGCAGAACTGGAGCCTTGTAATTATCTTTATTAGGCTTCATATTCATACATATTTAAATAAGCCCTGATCATTTTATAACATATAGGCCTCATGCATATCAAAATAAACAGCAGAAGTTACCACTTAATTATACGATTTGTATTATAACACAAATATTATCATGAGAAGAGGTCAGTTCTGCTGCTTAATCATCTGTTGTTAAAATACCAGCAAATTTCTGCATTGCTGCAAACATAGTTCTGGCGTTACATCCCACTTAGTCTGGAAAATAAACACAAAATAATTGAATTTGCCTTTTATTGCAATGCTTTAAGTTGTAGTCAATTATGCACACAATTATGGAAAGACATCTCTACTGCCAGGATTTTCGAGGGAGATACATGTAAAAACAGAACCTTCTCATAACACATTTTTCTTAACATGCAGGGTAATGTAAAAACTCTACAAGTACTGTCATATTCAATTCAATTTAATTCGATTCAATTTTATTTGTATAGCGCATATTTACAACAACAGTCATCTCATAGCGCTTCACAAAGGCAGAGACAGAAACACCCAACAATCCAAAACATTTGGATTCCCTATAAGCTTCAGCAGTCCGCAACAGTGGGAAGGAACCGAAAACCCCCACAGGGGAAAAAAAAAACCTCCGACAGAACCAGGCTCAGGGAGGGACGGCCATCTGCCTCGACCTATCGACATGTCACATGAATAAAGATCTGGATAGCCAAGACTGTTCTGTTATAACTCCATGTGTGTATGGCTGTGAAATTACCCTGAAAATAGCCTTGGGCTCACAGGGCTAAAGGCCTTTTTTGAGCTAATTGAAATCAATTTGTTCACAATCACTTAGAAACTTAAAACAATGACCAAATTGATTGTACCTGGCATGATTGCACCAATATACAGCATGGAGCCAATATTGTACTAAAATCCAGGCAGTGTTGTCCTGCTGTGTTCTAACAGATGTGATGGAGAGGGAGACTGGCTCTGTATCCCCCACCTCCCTCACCCGTCTCCAGCAGACACAGCACTCTGGGAAAGTATTCACAGAGGAAACTAGCTGTAGTGTAGCTGCAGCAGGTCATTCTGTTCTGTCCTTGTTTTACCTTTTCTGAAGTGCCTCCTCAGCCCCGTTTACACCTGCTGTAAACACACAACCAGTGTCTGTGTCCATTATCAAGGGAACAGCACATGATCACTGGTGTTTTCATGTACACATTTGATTAAGTGGGATTGTTACGATTCCACACACATAGCGGTCGGATCGCCATATGCAAAGAAGGTAGGTGGAGCAGAGCTGAGCTTTAGAACAAGGGAAGCCAAGCTGCTGACTCGGCTTCACTTTTCTTGCAGAGGAGGTCGTCTGTGCAGCAGGAAGAGGAAAAGGTGACCATTTGAATATGCATTTTCCTTCTGCAGATAAGACATCTAGATACAGATCACACATTTACACCTGCTGGAAAAGAGCTCTCATATTTCAAGTACTTAATTTTATTCCAGCTAATGAACCAAACTCGCTAATATTCAGCCACAAATTTGCCTCAAAGGGCTTAAAGTGCATTTGCTCTGCCAATCAGGGGTTTAATTAAACAAGACGTTAATTATGAAGCCCTAGTGCAACCATGACACTGTTAATGACAACATCAGCTGAGTTAAGTTAAAGCTAACAGGATATGTAAGCAGTCTGTTGGTCAGCATCAAGGGAGTCGCTTGGATAAAAAATCATTTTTGACCCATTAGCTTGCAGTAAACTGTCGGTCGAGATGGCAGCTGTGAAAGAAACATTACTGAAAACAGGCAGATGGAGATGCAGTGGAGCATATGTTCGGTTACAACCTAAAACCACGTATGTGCTTCAGAAACATTCTTCACTTTTGGAAAAACAGACACACAGAAACAAAACGTTTCACTGTAGTGCCTGATGTATGTTCCTATTCAGTGTTAAAACATCAGAGACAGGCAGTCATGAAAGAACCACTTCTAGAAACAGATTCATTCTTCTGTGGCGTGAACAAAGAATTAATTCTTTTCCAGTACTGAGTCATGAACTGATAGTGTTTCTCGTTTGATTTCAAATCAGGCTTTCCTTAGTTGAGATGAATTTTGAATACATGTAGAAAATCAGGATTAAAAAGTTTATAACTGAGATCAACTAGATTTACAATTAATATTTTGTTCTCCGGATCGTCGTGACTTTTGAGCACACTGGGAGGTGTTCACATGTTTACATATTTTACTGACAGTGTAATATAGGCTGTTACGTTCTCTCCTCTAATACCTTAAGAACTGCCACATCCACCTCCAAAGTGCCTGCTTTGCTTTTGAAAGATGTTTTTAGCATGTCATTTTATCTCAATTCGTTCCCTCATTACCTCTATCTGTTCTGGTGATACGTCACTGGCAGCTGCTCTATTAATATGTAACTATACTGTGTCCTATATTACAACTCCTGAATCTGCTCGTGGAACACGCTGCCTCTATTTGGCCATTTTTTGGTGAGTCATTTATGTGGAGCGTGAGTTTAACTGAGGAGAGTCATGCAAACTCTCTCGGCCATGGACTGTCCAATGATTGTAATGCCCTTAATTATGAATGTCTTTAAGCTTTAGTACAATTTAAACATGCGAGTTATATAAAAATTCATCCTCTGTGCTGTTGTTGTGAACGGGGAAATCAGCTGTAGAGACCAAAGTTTTTTGATATCAGGCTGTTGTTTCTGCTGTGAAGTTTGACATCTGAAGCTCATGCTGATGTTAAACTTAGCTTGGTTAACGCAGGTCGAAGCAGAGTGTGTGTCAGCAGAGAGCAGGTCTAGCAGCAAACAAGGACTGGCAACACTCTGATTATAAATGCCTCTCAAAATTAAAACAGTATCAACAGTGCTTGTTGCTATAAGTTTATTGCAACTTTAATTGACTAGATTAATTAAGTTGGTACAACAATGAACAAAGTGCAAGTTCCTCCCACTAATAGATGTTTTATATAACATGCATGCTACTTTATGAACCAGTTAAAATCATTATGTCTGAAGTCAGCGCTGAGCTAACATTAGCAATGTTACAGCTACTATAGCGTTCTACATAGAAGAGCTGGACACCTTCTCACCGAGGGACCACACCACGAAGCGACACCTGTCAACATGTTGACATTCTGTTCTCTGAGTATTCAGTCGTAATTACTATGTTACTACATGACTACATGAGGACTTGGTAGTTATAGGTCAGAGCACACCCATCTTCAAACTGAATCTTCATTGTTATCCTACAAACTACACACCTGTGCAGTTATGACACCTGCCCAAGCAGTAGTTCCCGCTACAGTGGGTGTCTCCTGTACCACAGTGTGTCGTGATGAGACACACAGACTCATGTTTATTTTATTTTTTCTTCAGATTCATATTGTGCTATGAATCTGCTTCTTACATAAGTGTCATTGATTAGCTGATGGAAAAACCTTGCTGAAGCATTGTATTATTCCTGTGTTTCATACATTTTTAATGACTCATTGATTATTGGCTGTTAACAAGGTCAGGTGGCATTCAAGGAAAAAATGTGTATCATGAATAAGAAAAAAGTGTTCTCGCAGGTTGATTATTTTTTGTTACCGCTGCAGATTCCTGGTTTAAAATGATCCTATGTGTTTGAGTAGTGGTAAAATAATGTGAAATGCACCAACTGACTGACGAGCTGCATCTGGATCAGACCTTCTCCTCCATATGTTCACGTGTGTGTGTGTGTGTGTGTGTCTGTGTGTGTGTGTGTGTATATGTGTGTGTGGTTGCACTCACCACTCAAAAGTCTTGTCAGCATCCTAATGACAGGGGAGGTTAATGAGAGATCATAAATCACCACTGAAACACACACATGGTTTATGACTACATTTGTGGGCTCATTGATTAACACAGTGCAGTCTGTAACCTCGTACCCTAACCTTGACCATCACCAATAAATACATCACCCCGACCAAGACCAAACCTAAACCTGATTCTGAGCTGAACCCCCAAACCGTCAGTGTGAACCGTCAAATAACACTTTGAGATTCTGTGCCAGAGTGAGGAGTGACCAAAATTTCCTCACAAACATAGATGTAGGAGAGCACACACACACACACACACACACACACACACACACACACACATACACACACACACACACACACGCACGCACACTCACCTACATACCTACACACTGCTCTCAGATGACCAGATAAGTGAGCAGCGCTGCACCAAAGCACATTCATAATAGATAAGACAGAATGGAAGGAGGAGAGTGAGTGAGGGGATGTGGATGGGGGTGAGGAATTGGGAAGTGCGCTGGGAGGAAGGGGGAGGCTGTAGGGGGAGAGGGCAGGGAGCAGGGGAAGCCTTTAAGAGCAGAGGCGAAGGTAAAGATGGTGGATGAAGGATGGAGAGGACCCATCCCCCCCAGCTCTGACTCGATCTGTTTCAGCTCTCATGGATTCAAACACTGACTCCCTCCCTCCCCATTCTCTCTCTCCCTCCCTCCCTCCCTCCTCTCTCTCGCTCTTCTCACTCAGATGACCCAGCAGATGTCAGGCATGGCTCTGAGCGGTGGAGGGCCGACGCCTGGCACTTTCAACCAGTCAGGCGCCCCCTCGGCCGGTTGGCCCGCTGCTCCACCGCCAGCCTCAGGCCAGACCCTCAGCACCCAGCTGTGGAAGTGACGACGACGACGGGCTCCAGGGGAGGAGTTGGAGGTGGCGGGGGGCAGTGGAGGGCAGTCACGTGGCCGTAAAACAGCCAAGTTTACTCCCAACCCACCCGTCTCCTCACAGCTCCGAATAAAGAACGCACAGCGGGGGCAGTTTGACTGCCCGAAGCGCCCCTCCCAAACCCAACACACCTTCACCGTGGTTCCTTTAAAAAGCCAAGACGGCATCACAGTGGACGGAGTGAGAAAAAAAAAAAAAAAAACGACTGGCAGCTGTTGTCTCGCGTCTTTATTTAACTCTCCTCTTCTTTTTCGGTTTCCTTTTGTTGTTGTCGTCTGAAGAAAGAGACAAAAACAGCAGAGCAGGCAGAGCAGAACGCTGCTGGACCAACATCAAGTGTCTGTGATACTAATATTATATCATTACCAAAATGGATAGTTAGTGAATAGTCTTTCAGTACTTACAGTAGATATGGCTATCTTGTGGTTGGTCTATGCTACCCTGTCCTCACCCCTCTCTCTCTCTGCAGTGCTTATTGTAACCCCCTCTCCCTCCCTCTCTCCCTCTGTAGGGCGAGCAGAGCCTCGCAGCAGATAATTGTCAGAGCAGTACTGTAGTTATGTGAAAATGATGTGAACCTCCCGCTTTTTCAGAGCCACAGGAGAGAAGTTGATGCTTCCACTCTGGACAGCCTCGTGTGGTTTGAGTTTATTCATCTCGTGACGCTCCACTGGGGGAAATGAAGCGGAGACGAGGCTCTCCTGCGAAGTTTAACTCTGCTAAATGAGGTCTGACTGACATGGGTTTAAAGCTGCTTATATAGTACGTGTTACTTTGCACTGTCAGTCACCGAGTTCAATTATTTTCCCACAAAGACTTCCAAACTAATAAGTCAAGCAATGTCTTATTACAATCGCTGCAGGTTCAGTTTATTCCCACAGCAGCCAGCGTACTGATTATATTCACCAGTGGTTTCCAATTGCAGGGCTGGAACCCCCCTGGGTTCACAGTACATCTGAGAGTTTATTGGAACAGATATTAAGAAACAAAACGCACATTAGCAGGACAAATTTATTTTTTTCGTTTTAAAGCTTGGTTTTTGTTTTGAAATACTGTGGTTTTAACTTGAGGAAGAGAAAAAAAAAAACAAAGACCTGCATCACTCGCAGGGCTTTGTTCTGCATATTTAAAAACTATTGGATGTTTCATACAGCTGCAGTAATTAGATAATTTGTCGTGTATGCTTATTCACGCTCTTGCTGAGAGTAAAATGGGAAAAAAATACTCTCATGTTGTGTTAAATTAGGAGCTGAAGCTGGGAGACAATTAGCTTAGCTTAGCATAAAGATTGGAATAAGGGGGAACAGCCAGCCGAGTTCTGTGTAATATTTATCACAAAGTTGTACGCAAACAGAAATGTAAAAACAAAATGTGGTTCACTGAGAAATAGTTCCACGTGCACGTAAAAACTTTTACATTTCTGATTGTGTCTCAGCTAATCATCAAAGTACTGTATGTGTTAGCGGGTTTAAGAGATGTTTTATCTTTTTAATTGTATTTAGAGACTTGAGCTGCAACTAACAGTTAAATCTAATGTCAAATAATCTGTTGATTATTTTCTCAATTAGCTGTTTGGTCCATAAAATGGTCAAAGGTGTCGACCAGTGTTCCCACAGTCAGAAGATATTCCAGCCAGAAAATGTTCACTTTGACAAAGCTTGAGTCAGAGAATTTAGACTTTTTTTCTTATCCTAATCTGTTATTAAAGAAAGTGGCGATTATTTTAACAGTTGACCATTGATCAATGAATTGATTAATTGTTGCAGCTCTCTGACTTGCTGTTTTCCCACTGGCTGCTTCTAGTTTTTATGCTAAGCTAACTTAGTAGCTACCAGGTGCTAGCTCCATAGCTAACGCACAGACGTTTCCCAACATGTTGGTTTAACTCGAGCGTGCTCGTGCTCACTGACTGATCTGCTTCCGCTCATTGTGTTTCTCGATCACCAAGCAGCTGCCTCGATAGCATCAGCTGTATGAACTACATGGCAGGGAAAGACGAAAAGTAATAATCGCACACTCTTTACTTTCATAGCTTCATCTCCCACCACGCAGACGTACATCTCATTACCAGAAACACACAAGTGCAGCTCAGAGTCCTTTTTAGGTCTAACCATTTTACCGACAGACAAATTTGCTGAAAACTGCACTACTCGGCACAGTGTGCAGCTAACGAAGCCAGTTATCTGTCATGTTATATTTGGGCTTAAAACACCCTTTTCTAATCGTTCCGTTTTTATTATGTAGACATGTTCCACACAGTGTGAAATAAAAGCTCTAATTAATTCCCTCTATTGCCAGCCCAGTCACAATTAGAGATGCTTTTGCTTAAAAACGGTCAGAAGTCAAAAAAGGTTCAGAACACTACATTATTCAGTGTGTGTACTTTTATCAGCAGATTAATATTTTGGTTCAACCCTGTTTTTTTAAACTGCCTGCTGGTTAAAAACAACCCAAAACTCCAAATGTCAAGGATTCCCTTAAAGTGTCAGTAATTGCTGGGCGGGCCCCGGGTCCTCTGGGTGTCTTTGGTGGACCCGCTGTGATGTTTGGAAGTGTTTTAAAACCAAACGAGCTGGGTTGAGTGGAAACTGGACTCCGACCCAGTTGAGACATTCCTCGCTGTTGAAATGAGCCATTCCCACCCCTGCCAACCGCACCCCCCCCCCCCCCCACGCTGTTGAAATGAGCCATTCCCACCCCCGCCAACCGCACCCCCCCCGAGGCAAATTAAAGCGCTACTTGAATCACAGCGGTTTGTCTTTACTGCACTTTATATAGCAGAGCAGGTGCTGCATCTCGCGCTGTGTTGTGGTTTCATGTCTCAGATGGCTGTCAGGGAGCAGCGGAGATGAGCAAACTGTCAGTTTGCTTCCTGCTGCCGGGTCGGAAATCCAACTCTTTATTTAAAATTCTGGACCAGTGTGACACCCACAGTGTTTCTCCTTCCATATATGACGCTATATCTGTATGTTCTGCCATCCGCCATCTTTATTGTGGTGTTTTGTTGTGTGCAGTACAAGAGAAGCACAGTTACTCTACAGTAAATAAACCTGGACGACCAATCAGAGGGCTAGACTGGCAGGACAATGAAGAGGACTGGACAGTGCTGAAAGAGGGGGACCTGTATGAAAATCCTGGATGGGTCCCATCATCACTGTCCAGCTCTTGTAAGAACAGACGAGCAAAACACACATCCACACTCATATGCACACAGATCACACTGCCGAGCGCCGAAGCAGAGATTCATGTCCGTATACACAGGGTCCCTCTGCCATGCAATAACTGTAGCACTCTGTTGTGTGTGAGCAACACGTAAAAATATTCAATAAATCCACGATGTCCTCCAGGTTTATTTCCAGTGTGTTTACATTTTCTGGTGCCTAGTACAGAGAAAAAAAGTGGTTTTCGTGCATTAAAACCGTAAATATACAGGAATTTTTCTGTGTTCATCTTTGTCCAATGACTCTGAAAGTACTGTTTTATCTTTGGAGATTTTAGTTTGTTTGCTCCTTTTTTTTCTGTTCCTGTTTACAGGAGGGTCATTTGGAATAAAGGCTGTTGAATCCTGGATTTCATCCTGGTTTTATCTCCTCTGTGAACATCAAACATCATCACACGTTCACTCCACTCTAAATTTCAGTGCTCAGGACAATACTGCTGTCAGGAAAAAGGTTCTCCACATAGTCGAGCTGTGAACATAGAAGCCTCTATGATGTGCTGTTTACATACTTTTCATTCCCTGGCTGGCAGGTGCGTTTTCTTTGTTGTCGGCTCACAGACTCTACATTATTGATGGCAGCTTGTCAGGAATCATGTTATTTGTTGCTTGATGTTGGATACTTCCCATCCTGATCACATACTTCACATACATACAGAATGAGAGGAGCCCAAAGGTCGCTCCACTTCATGAGATATACATATGGTCAGTGCAGGTTGATCCAAAGGAAAATCAAATAGCATTTAGGCATCAATTAACCATTACAGCACTGACTGAGAGACATTCATGTGAATCACTGAAGCAAAGAAGACCAGAGTTGGCTGTTTCTGTCCCCATCTGATTGGCATTTTATGGGTATGAGGCTCAGTGAAGAAATGAAGAAGATGTTGTTCTTCTAGAACACACTGAGCTAAAACTTTAATGAAAAAAAGGGCTAAAAAGCTGAAAGAAAATCCCCTCCTGCATTTTAATTCCCCTAGTGAAAGCTGTGTGGGGTTAAGGGAACAATTGTAATTATTCAGTGATTTGGGAAATACACTTAACTTGTCTTCACTCCAAGAGAGTTTTGAAAAATGTGTGTTTTAAGCACGGACCTGGAGTTACAATACTGTTAGCCTCGCTTAGCGTAAGGACTGGCAGAAGAGGACAACAGCCTCTACAGGTAAAAATACATCAATGAACACCTTTAAAGCTAAGAAACACATGGGGGATCTGGCACGTTTAGATATTTGTAGTATTTCTGTTGCATATTATGTTGCAAAAATAGCAACTAAACTGCTCCCTCAACCAAAACCTGTTTTTGTTTTTATATTTCTGGTTACATGAGATAAAATGCAGCGTACAACAAAAGTGCGTGTTCAGTCAAATGATTCCAAATTTCGTCTCCTCTCAATAATTGGCTCAGTTCTCAGTTGAACGACAGGCTCTGA